GCACCTGTCAGCGCCTCCCCCTGTGCCGCTTTCCCTTATCCTCTTCACCCCTTTCTGATCCATTCCCTCCCTCCCACCTGCCAAATACCCCTTAATAACATAAATTCCGAGAGGGAGATTTCCCTCCCTTCACCCCTTGCTTTCTCATCCCACTCTTCTTTCCCTCCCTTCCTCCCTCCCTCCCTCCCTCCCTCCCTCCCTCCCTCCCTCCTCCCTCTCTCCCTCCCTCTATCCATTACTGCCTTCGCTTTGTGATGCCCTCCCTCTTGTCGGTCCTCCATCCTTTCCTACCCAACTGCTGTCTTCCTTCTCCTCTGCAATTGCTCACCCGCCACAGCTACTTTTACCACTATGGCTATAGCTTTAGATTTGCATCCTTGCCCACTGTGGCCATAGCTTTAGATTTGCATCCTTGCCCACTGTGGCCATAGCTTTAGATTTGCATCCTTGCCCACTGTGGCCATAGCTTTAGATTTCCATCCTTGCCCACTACTGACCCTGTCTCTTATACACATCTAGATGTGTATAAGAGACAGCCCGCTTTGCTAGCCCCCCTGCCCCCTGCATGTCTGGCCCGTCTCCACAAGCTTTTGGTCATCATGCATGCTCTCTTCCAGTACCCCGCACCTGACCAGCCGGGCGAGCAAGCCTCAGAACATGCCTTGGCACGCACAGCTCGGCAAGAGAACGTATCGGAGGGGACAACGGAGGTAGGAATCATCTGCCCCCCTCAACTGCCCCCTTCTGACCCCCTGAAGCCTACCCTCAACCTGCCTGCTCCTCTCCTCGCCTGCCTACCTACCTTTGCCCTTTATTGCCATCATTACCCTGCCTTCCACCTTGCCCTCCTTGGCACCTTGCCTTCCCTCCCCCTCCCCCTCTCATTCACCCTTTCCCTCCCCTTCCTTCCTCTGAACCAGCTAATTGACTGAAGACCATTTAAGTTTGTTTGGGTTCTAAAATAGGGGAAAAAAGAGATATGTACGAGAGACTTGAGAGTGGAAAATTGGAAATCAATCTTTTTTTTTTTTTCCTTTTCCTTTTCCAGATATTAAATTGATCAGAACAGATACTAACTTGATCTTAGCCACAAGGCCGAGAAAGGTATGCATGAGAATTGAAATCAATCTAATCAGGTAATCAATAACAAAATTATGTCTGCCCGCTTGCTCACCTCCCTGCCTGCCCACCCATCTGCCACCTGCGTGCTTGCGCACCTGTCAGCGCCTCCCCCTGTGCCGCTTTCCCTTATCCTCTTCACCCCTTTCTGATCCATTCCCTCCCTCCCACCTGCCAAATACCCCTTAA